AACTCTTTCCACAAGTCAGAGCTTGAGGTTGTTACAGTGGACATGATTTAACCAATCATCATCAGTTAAAGTGATCCAACTAACTTACTACTAAACTAAAAACTAAAACTAAGAATAAAACTGAAAATAAGAAAATGAAAAATCAACAATTTTCTTGTCTCCAAAACCAAATTGAAAAAACAGATAATTTTGTTTTTTCAGTTTTCGATTTTGTGTTTAAATGAATAATGGAAAAGAACAGATAATGGCCGTTTCCCGTTTGTGACTTAAACTGAGATGCCGGACTGAACCAGGACTGAACCAGGACTAAAATGGTCTCAGTCCTGGTCTTGGTCCCGGTCTCAGTCCCGGTCTGGTCCCTGTCTCAGTCCCTGTGTCATTTCTGGTCTCAGTCCTGGTCTGGTCCCGGACTGGTCCCAGACTGGTTCCGGTCTGGTCCCAGTCTGGTCCCCGTCTCAGTCCTGGTCTTGGTCCCGGTTTCAGTCCCGGTGTCATTTCTGGCCTCAGTCCTTGTCTGGTCCCAGTCTGGTCCCGGTCTCAGTCCCGGTGTCATTTCTGGTCACAGTCCGGGTCTGGTCCTGGTCTCAGTCCCAGTCTCATTTCTAGTCTTGGTCCCGGTCTCAGTCCCGGTCTCATTTCTGGTCTCAGTCCTGGTCTTAGTTGTGGTCTGGTCCTGGTCTGGTCCCGGTCTCAGTCCCCATCTCAGTCCTGGTCTTAGTTCTGGTCTGATCCCGGTCTCAGGCCCCATCTCAGTCCTGGTCTCAGTTGTGGTCTGGTCCCGGTCTCAGTCCCCATCTCAGTCCTAATCTTAGTTCTGGTCTGGTCCCGGTATGGTCCCGGTCTCAGTCCTGGTCGAATGAACGAATGAAACATGGATACACGGATTATCCCTGCCTCCTTTTCCCATTTTTGTATAAAGGCCGAATGTTGACCAAGTTTAAAAACATAATAGAGCGCTTCCTCTATTACCACATGACATCACAAGGTGGAAGCAGAAAGATTATAACACAGATCAGAAAATAGCGAAAAATCTGCCTGTTTCAACCCCCACACACTCTTGACTCTGCTGTTGTATCCTTGGGCAACACACTACCTGCTTTTCCTCCAGTGTTTTGTATTTGTCATGACATGTTTAAGCCGTCTACAGGGGGTTTATGCAAATTTCACAGAAACCCTGCAACTTTTGAACACCTGGAGTTTGCAGTCGTCAAGAAATTTTATCTAATTACAGGATTGTCAGCGGGGGGTAGACACTCAAGGCTCAAACGGAGGACAATTGGTCTACAGTATTAAACACAAATGCAGAAATAACAACTCTGATTTATGCTTTGAGAATGATGACAGGTCAAAAGTTTGGACACGCCCTCTCATTCAGCGCTTGTTTTCTTTATGTTCTGTACCACTTCTTACATTTTATATACAGAAAGAAGACATCATGTGGACAGCGCTGCAAACCCTTGGACTCTACAGCTGTACCACATCAGGGTCAACAAATGCCAAAAGTGCAAAGCAGTGGTCAAAGCAAAGGGTGGCTATTTATTTACTTTTTAAATCTCTAAATCTCTAAACATGTTATTTTGAGTTTATTTTGTGTTACTAAATTCCATATGTGTCGATTGATAGTTTTGATGCCTTCAGTGAGAATCTCTAATGCAGATAGAAAAATAAATGAAGCATATGTCCAAACTTTTGACTTCTCTCTCTGGTTTGAGCTCACCAACTTAAAATCTGGTCCCGGGTCCTGGATCATGTCTGGACTTGCCTCTTAAGACTTTCTGCAGTCAACCATGTTTTGCGGATCTTTTGTGTTTGGCAGCCGATTACAGCGAGAATAAAAAATAAAGTAAAAACATACTAACACAATAATAAAATATTTTTAAAAAATGAGAAAGTGAAAGTGATATGTTTATTTATCTTGATACTTACAGGACTGTACAGCTATTGTTCAGTTTGATTTTACACCAAATTGCTGTTTCTGTAATGTGTGACAAAGTTAAGTTAGAAGTACGAGTTCGGGCACCAGCCAATCAGCGAAGAGCCATCCATTCAGTGTTGTCAACAATTCCAGAGATCAAGGATTTAAAGCCGTAACAAAAAGAACGTTTGGTGAATTTTATCAAGGGGAAAGACGTTATTGCCCTTCTTCCTACAGGATTTGGGAAAAGCTTAATATACCAGTTAGCCTTGTTAGCGGCACATCACATTTGTCACGACTAGGGCTGGGTATCATTAAGAATTTGCTGATACGATACATGTCACAATACGTAGGCCACAATACGATACATATTTCGATACAGTGACCTTTCAATTTGATACGATATATTTCAAACTGATTTGATACAGTTCAATAAAAAATAAATCCTAGCTCAAGTCTGTTTTTGTTAAACCATTTCTTGTGCAAAGTTAATACGAAATACACCCATTTTAATCATCAAAACAATGAATATGTCAAATGTGTTTCATAAAAAAGTTTCCTTCTTCCAAACAAGCAACAAAACGGTGGCACTGTCACAAAATAATTTAGTAAAATATACCAAAAAAATACCCTTGGCGATATATATCGATACTGCAGCTCTGCATACTGTATCATCACATTAAACAATATGATATATCGATATTTCAATATTTTTGCACACCCCTAGTCATGACCAAATAGCAGCGATTGCTTGTATAAAAAAAGTACCCGCCTACCGTTGAGCGGTTGCGAGGTCAGATGGTTTCTACGACGTGAAACCGTCTGATGAATAAGGCTAGCACTGTGTAACTTTTCAACCTGTTTGTCTCCATGGAGATGTTAATGCTTTGGTTTAAATTGTCCACATTATGGTACTGAAATAATCTGTCTTGCATTTATTCAACTACAGGTGTTATTTATTGCTCAAAAACATCTTAAATAAAACATCTATACTTCCTGTGAGTGGGGTCGCCTCTCCACAAATCTAACCTGTAATTTGGCTTGCAAGTTTCCATGGTGATTCATAGGTTTATGGCTTATTACTGTGGAACATTCTAGCCACATCATGGAGACAAAAAACAGACCCTCCACCAGACAAGTTACACAGTGCACCTTTAAATTTGCAACCAAAACACACATTTACTTTATAGTGTCTTATTGTATGCTTAGCCACATGTGTCTGCATGTATGTCTACGATGGAATATTCAGCAGTTTCCATGGTGACACAATACACTCATTAGATAATACAGACAAAAAAGCTTTTAAATTGTCTGAAAACTCAAAAAACTGAAAAACTATTGGCCAATCCGAGCTAGATTGTGACACGAATCATCTCACCTATTGTAATTCCAACTAAACCAGCTCTTCCTGTCTGGCCAGATTGTGTTAAAATAAAAATCTGATTTATCAGATCTATCTTGAGTAAAACCTCAGAGAGAACAGTGCCTATAGTTAGTATCCATACGGTACAATAGCTGTTTAAAAGGACCCATCATTGGAAGCTGTTGAAGTTAATAGTGTGTTAAATTTTAGAATGCACCCAAGTACCCTTTGAGTACTTCCATTTTACACAAGTACTTTTAAAGGTCCTATATTACTCAAAATTGACTCTTGTGGCTTTAAGTCATGTTAGAATGCTGTTACCTCCTCAAAAACAAACCTGGAGTTGTGTTTTGTTTCATTCACATGTTTGAGTAACACTTTGTTATTAGTCTGTTTACATCAAAAGTGAGAAAATGCATAGCACACTCCGATGGCCGATGTGCAAAAGCTTTTTTATTTTCAAAATAACGTTTCGGCAACAAAAGCCTTCATCACGTATTTTTCTTGCTTTGGACCACAGCACACTAAATGGTTGCCAGCCCAGGTGCTCATCTCCCCCTCCAATGAATGGGAGGTCCCAAAGTGAGGTCACCCAGTGACTTCAGCCCACTCTATAACAGGAAAAAACTGTTTAGATATTTACATAAAAACATTCTATAAAATACAGAAATAGTTTAGGTGTATCACAAAAACATAGAAAAAGAAAGAGTTTGAAGATGGTGAATCCAGAAGTGTTCTCTTTGACAGAAGCGTTTCTCGATTCCCACCTATAGATTCCAGTTCCACATGTTCAATGCCAATATATCTTAAGGAAGAGATAGGATGGTTAAAATCAACAAAATGAGCCGCCACAGGATAGTTCATGTTTTTACATCTGATTGTACTCCTCTGCTCTGCAATCCGTGTTTTTAAAGCCCTGCTTGTTTTACCCACACAGGCTTTACCACAGAGGCGGGTGATCATATAAATAACAGACTTAGTGTTGCAGGATATATTTCCTCTGATGGGTATTTCTTTTCCAATGTGAGGGTGCTTAAAACTGTTGCAGTGATATGTGTAGTTACACTGACTGCACCCACCACAGCGGACGATTTCCATCAGGAATAGGAGTCAACATGGTTTGGTCTGATGTGGTCTGATTTTTAGCCTGTTTACATCACCAAAGCTCCAAAGTGGTCAATTTGAAGTCAACAGCTACTTTTACCTTTTTTTTTTTTTTTAAAGAATGGGAATAGCAATTCCAGGGCTGAAATCTTCCAAATGATTCTAGTGAAGGTGTGTGGAGTTTAAAAACACAGTAGAGCACTTCCTGTATTACCACAAGACAGCACAAGGTGGAGCAGAGGGTTTTCTGTTTGAGAGAAGAACTAAGAGCCTAATGTGGAGGTTTGTGTTAAACATGTGTGAATGAAAAAAACAAACATTCTAACATAGATCAGAGAGTAGCATAGTATGGACCCTTTAAATATACTTGTACACTTTCTAATATTTCCTCACATTAGTCCCCTGCCATGTACATACAGTAGATATTCTTGTGTCCAGGTGAGCTTCCTTCTCCTCTAAACACACAAAGCCCTGTTTCCTGAGGCACTAAAACAATCCTCTATGGGCCCTTGTTGTTCTCTGTTCCTGTGATCTGATTGGCCGCCTCTGGACCAATGGGGCGTCAGTGTGTGGACAGAGGATATTAGGCAAAGGCTCTGGGCTGTAGATGCAGTTTTGGTTCAGGTTACACAACACAGCGGTGAAGCAGACTCGCCCGGACTTACCTGGAGCTGGATCTGTGCCATAACACTCAGGTGAGGGGGAGAGGACCTAAGAATAATTTTTAGTAGCAGTAGTAGTAGTAGTAGTAGTAGTAGTAGTAGTAGTAGTAGTAGTAGTAGTAGTAGTAGTAGTAGTAGTAGTAGTAGTAGTAGTAGTAGTAGTAATAGTGGTAGTAGTAGTAACAGTAGTAGCAGTAGTAGTGGCAGTAGTAGTGGTATTAGTCGTAGTAGCATTGGTATTACTAGAGATGGTAGTAGTAGTAATAGTAGTAGTAGTAGTGGTGGTGGTAGCAGTAACAGTAGTAGAAGTAGTAGTAATGGTGGCATTAGTGGTGGTATTAGTAGTAGTAGTATTGATAGTAGTAGTACTAAAGGTGGTAGTAGTAGTAGTAGTAGTAGTAGTAGCAGTAGTAGAAAGAGTAGTAGTGGTATTAGTAGTAGTAGTAGTATTGGTGGTAGTAGTAGTAGTAGAGGTGGTAGTAGTAGTAGTAGTAGCAGTAGAAGTATTAGTGGTCATAGTGGTAGTAGTAGTAGTAACAGTAGTAGCAGTAGTAGTGGTATTAGTAGTAGTAGTATTGGTAGTAGTAGTACTAGAGGTGGTAGTGGTAGTTGTTGTAGTAGTGGTAGTAGCAGTTATTGTACTAGTAGTAGTACTAGTAGTAGTAGTAGTGGTAGTAGTAATAATGGTAGTAGTTGTAGTAGTAGTAGTAGTATTAGTAGTAGTAGTAGTAGTTCTAAAATACTATATAATGCAGTATATAATGCAAGTATAATGCAGTAGAAGGCTCAGTTAATCATCAACTATTATTTCTGTTGCAGTAATTATATGTTCCTTATTTACATTTGACAATAGACCTATTTTAAGTACACCATACAAACATTTGTTTTGCAATAGTACTTCTAAATATAGGAAGTACAATAGCAGCTGTTTGTGAAGTCATATTTTTCTGCATTCATGGGTCATTCATCTGTATCTGATGTTATTTGAGAAATTGTTCATTACAGACTCACATAACTGACAGTAATGTGAACTCAAAACTCAAAACAGTGATCTTTGTCTACCTGTAGGACCTGTTTGTTTAAATGGACTATGTAACTTTTCATGCAGGCTTGTCCATGGAGATGTTAATGCTTTGCTTGCAATGTTCCACAATATGGCATCAAACTTCTCTGTCTTGCATCATGGCAAATGTTTAACACAGTAGTTCTTTGTCCAAGCTGTTAAAGTGACCTTACCTAATCTGACCTTATCTTCTGACATTTATATGATACGTTCAGTTCACAATGTAAACACCGTTATGTAAAGTAACCTGACACAGGTGTCCTGGCACGCAGTCTCCATCCAACATGAGAGGATCTATGTTGTGAAAAACTGCATTGTTGAATGGTTTTGTCTGGGTGTCGAAGTGCTCTGTAATTATCTAGACTCAAACCAGAGAATATGTGATGGGTTTTTGAGCTTTTTGTCAGAGGATTAAGAGGTTTTGTGTGGTGGAGCCAAGGGACTGTGCACCTTATCTGCCCTTTGTGTGCTATTGGTAAACTTATTATACACTAAACCTGAGGAAGTATTCTTGACTTTTTATAAACTATATTATTTATATACTTAAGAATAGTATAGTGAAGTGTACTTCCATGGTGACACAGTGGCTTAGTGGCTAGCACTCACGCCTCACAGTAAGAAGATTCTGGGTTTGATCCCTGGGTTGCCTGGGTCATTCTGCCAAACACCAGTAGGAACAAATGGTTTCAGAATCTTGCAGGGAGTATGCTGTCACCTTGGGCCTGGGGCTAAGCTGGGTTGATGCAGAGATGGACTGTGTTAGCAAACAGAGTCCAGGGAAGTGAGATGGTGCTGAGCTATTTGTGAACAAAGACTTATTGTGGTGGTTCAAGCTAAATACAATTAGGCAAGAATGAATTTGCAGGCTGTATAATGTTTGTGAATTACTACTTATTTATTAAAGGTGCACTGTGTAACATTTCTAGTGGATGGTCCACTACTTCCTTGTCTCCATGCCCCTTTTTGCAGAAGAAATTGTATTTTTGAGCATTAACATCTCCATGGGGACAAGCAGGTAGCAGATCTGCACCGGTGTGTATTATTGTCTGAGGCCTGCAGAAAAGGCTTGCTACTACTCTAATTAAAATACTACTACTACTACTACTACTCTCATGAAACTACTGCACATCAAATAACAGCCAGTAACAATAACAATAACAACCAGGGCTGAAATAAACCAGGATAAAACCAGGACTGAACCAGGGCTAAATGAGGACTAAACTAGGAATAAAACAGGACTGAACCAGGGTTAAATCAGGATTTAACCAGGGCTAAACCAGGATAAAAGCAGGGCTAAACCAGGAATAAACCAGGACTGAACTAGGTCTGAACCAAGACTGAGCCAGGATTAAACTAGGACTGAACCAGGATTAAATCAGAACTGAACCAGGACTGAACCAGGACTAAACCAGGACTAAACCAGGACTAAACCGGGGCTAAAGTATGGCTAAAGCATGGCTAAACCAGGATGTAACCAAGACTGAACCAGGGCTAAACTAAGACTGAACCAGGACTGAACCAGAATCAAATCAGAACTCAACCAGAACTCAACCAGGATTGAAACCAGGGCTAAACTATAGGACCAAACCGGCACTGTATCAGAATTACTGGTACTTGTACTGTTCACTGTACTTAACTAACTAAAGTAGCGTGTAGATCTCTCATGCACGTTATACTGATACATGTCTTTTCCTTATTAATGTGCTGCAGCCAAAATGAAAATCGCTTCTTTTAACATTCAGAAGTTTGGCCGTAACAAAGCATCTGACCCAAACATCATCAGGATCCTGGCAAAGGTGAGGACAGCGTCACTTACAGATGGACTCCTGCAATGATTTGTGTGTATTTAAAACTGTTTTGGTTTCAGATTGTGTCTCGTTACGACATAATCCTGATCCTGGAGGTGGTGGATAGAAGCGGAAACTCCATCAAAACTCTGCTAAAAGCTCTCAACAAGTCAGTCCCAGTCACTCTTTACGTTTTTAAGGTCATCTTAAAACGTCATAATGCTGTTTCTTCATCATAACAATACCAGAAGTCATGTTTTGTTTCATTCACTTGTGTTTGAATAATCTTGCATGTTTAGTCTCCAAAATGCTATTTTCCACCAAATGCAGAGAATTAATTGTAAAGTGTAATTTACCTTAAAGCAGACCTATTCTGCAAAATCCACTTTTCAGAGCTTTTAACCATGTTATAGTTGTTTCCTCTTTTTTTACCCTCTCAAAGTTGTATAGAGTCATTTCTGCATGTTTGAGCAATCTTTAATGACTTATTTTCAAGACGCTGTATTGCCGATCAGTTCATATTTTCACTGTCCCTGGAATACTCCACTTCTGCAGCATCACACAAAAAATCCACTGACATTTATGGCGATGTTGGCTCCCATTGGGCACCACAGTTTTCTAACACAGAAATCAGTTGTTTCTTTTATTACATCCTTTTAGATGAATTTTGCTATTTAAAATGTACAAATTATAACATAATGATCCACATAGATTACAGCAGACACAACAATATGTCTTCAATAAAAAGAGTGTTCTTCTGATCACTGCGGTACTGAATTTGATATTGAGTGTTGAATCAGTTCCTTAGTGATCAATAAAGTAGGCATCTATCTATCTATTTAATCTATCTATCTATGTAGTATCAAATTCACATTTAACACTGGGATCTTTAATAGTTGATGTCAATAATCTCTTGCTCCAGTGCAAACAGGAAACATCACTACAGCCTCCAGATCAGCAGCAGACTGGGACGGTCCCGCTACAAGGAGCAGTTCATGTTCCTCTACAGGTAAAATATTTCACTCTTCATTAGACAAACTTTACTGATCCAAATGGGAAATGATTTGGATAAGTAGCTCACAGCATATTATAATAAAAATAATAGCAAGAGACTGGTGTCAAATACGCCATCATTATACAAATGTATATGTACAAGTTAAAATAAAATATAGAAATACAGTATAGTAATACAAATACTATATCTCGGCTGTATACAAGAGGTCATAGGGAAAAACAGTGCAAAGATGATATGACGATTGACTGGACAAAGGGTTATCTGTCACATAAGGGTGAGTTGTTGTACAGTTGTAGGGAGTATTATCTGTCACGTAAGGGTGAGTTGTTGTACAGTTGTAGGGAGTATTAAAGTGTGAATGTAGTCCTGTAACTCTCACTGTTTGAGTGGAGCTGTAGACGCCTGTTGGAAAATGAGCTCCTCTATCTATAGTCTGGTGCAGCTTTATGGATCAGTTTGTCAGTCCGCCCAGTGTCCCTTTTACTACAGTAGTGCTGCTTTACTCCCTCTCTAGTTTATCAAGGTTTTCATTAACAAACCTGTCACACAATATTTGGGTCGACTGTTAATTCCTCTACTGTGAGATCAATAAAGTTGGAATTTGATCTTGTTTAAGGTCTTATATTACACAAAACTGACTCGTGAGCTTTTAATCATGTTAGAATGCTGTTACCTCATCAAAAACATACCTGGATTTGTGTTTCGTTTCATTCACACGTGTCTGAGTTATCCTGGATTATTTGTCTGTATACATTTCCAAAGCTCAAAATGCTCTGTTCCACCTTGTGATGTCATGTAGTGGTAATTTTCAAGTTAACAGCAGCCTTTTACCTTTTTTCAGTAGAAACTGGCAATTCCAGATCTTAAATTATCCAAATGATTTAAAGTGAATAGTTTACAAACACAGTGTAGCACTTCCTGTATTACCACATGACATCACAAGGTGGAACAGTGGTTTGTGTGTTAAAATTGTGAAAATGGCAGGAAATACAACTGCAGTTCTGTTTGTGATGAGGAAACACTATAACAGAAAATATTATAAAATGGTAATAGGGTCAATCCATTACCAGGACCAAAGCAAGTGAGCGTATGTAAAATGTGTGGAAAAGTTGTCAAAAGGACATTTTAAGAGCTTATAATAATGTATACTTAACTGATTCTTTTGTAGGGATGACTTGGTGGATTTGGTGGCCACATATCAGTTTGAGGACAGCAAAACTTTGAACCATGATGTATTTGCTCGAGACCCCTACATCCTGAGGTTCAAATGTCCCACATCAGGTGAATGCAACAGAGTTTGTCCTGTGAATATGACCACTTATTTCATGGCATATTGTAACCAGTGTTGCCAGATTGGGTTGTGTGATTTCCGCTCAATCACGTTCGAAAATCTGCCCTCCTCAGCAAAAAAAAAAAAAAAAAAAAGCGCCCAACAACATTTTGTCACAGAAAACATTTAATCTTTGAATAAATGTATGTGATCCATTGCTGGGCTTTTTAAAAACATTGCTAGTATTGAGAAAACATGTTAAATGTAGAACAGCATTTTCATTTATCACAGAAAAAAGGAAATTTAATATTTAAATAAAAATGTTGATGGCTATTTAATCTGTAAACTTTTTAAAAACAATGCCAGTATTGAGAAAACATTTTAAATGTAAAACAGTATTTTCATTTATCACAGAAAACATGCTGTAACGTAATGTATTGGCTTTTTATAAACTTTGCCTGGATTGAGAAAACATGTTTTGTAAAACCTTCAGTAGAACAGCTTTTTCATCAGGCATAAAAATGAATATCATCAATGGTCGGCTACAGCCTAGGCTACTGCAAACAGCTGACAAACCCAGAGCCTAAGACTCATACATCAAAGAACTGAATCTCCACAACAGCTGAACACCGGGGACGTCTGAACGTTGAGGATGTCCATTCATTTCTGCACAGGCTGAGACCAAAGACTGGACAGGAGTGAAAGTCACATACAGTTCCTCGTGTTATTGCATTACTGCGTGTCACACTGATTGGTGTAAAAACAAAAAACACCCAAACTTGTTGAAAGTAGTCCAAATATTATCTGCCCGCCTGAGGCTTCCCCTCCCTGCCTGATGTACTCAAAAAAAAAGCACCCACCCAATCTGGCAACTCTGATTGTAACTGACTTTTCTTATAGTTTAAAGTCTCTTGTGGCTTTAAGCCATGTTAGAATGTTGTTCCCTCCTCAAAAACAGACCTGGAGTTGTGTTTTGTTTCATTCACACATGTTTGAGTAACTCTTTATTATTAGTCTACATCTCCAAAGCTCAAAATGCTCTGTTCCTCCTTGTGATGTCACGAAGTGGTAGTTTTCAAGTTACCTTTAGTTCAGTAGAGATTGGCGATTCCAGAGCTGAGTTTGAAAATACAGTAGAGCATTTCCTGTATTATAATATGACATCACAAAGTGGAACAGTGTTTTCTGTTTGTGAGAAGAACACAGCCTAAATATGCAGGGTTTGTGTGTTCAACGTGTGAATGAAACAAAACACAACTCCAGGTCTGTTTTTGATGAAGAAACAACGTGATAACACAGATCAGAAACTAGCATAATATTGGCCCTCTAACATTAGAACTTGTGTTTCAGAGCTGCAGGATTTGGTTCTCATCCCAGTTCACACGACTCCAGAGGAATCTGACGTTGAACTGGACAAACTTTACGAGGTGTTTATGGACGTCAAGAAAAAATGGAAAACTGATGTAAGGACTCAACATTTAATCACAAATAGTAAAAGGTTGTCTCTAGAGCTGGATTTGGAGAGACTAGTACATTTTTATATTATACTGATAATTGATACTTTGCAGCTAATTTCATCAACATTCCCTGGGGGTGTTATGCTAACTTGAGGCACTGCTCTGCCTGAAGCTCAACAGAACAGGACTAAACAGAACTAAAGAGAAAAAGCAGGACCGAACCAGGACCCAGTTTATTCCTTGTGACCCAAAGACTAAAATAATAAGAATGTATAGATAATTTATAGAACCCAATTAAACTAAGGTCTGAACAGGACTAAACCAACCCTAAACCAGGACTAAACCAGAACTAAACCAGGTCTATTTTTTGTCCTTCAGAACATAATGATTCTTGGGGACTTCAACGCTGACGGTTCGTACGTTTCTAAAAAAGAAATGAAGACGATCCGTATCCGTAGCGACAAGAACTTCCACTGGCTCATCTCAGACGACCAGGACACTACAGCCAGCAATAAAAACACAAACACAGGACTACTGAACAGGACTAAACCAGAGGACTCTGAACCAGGACTAAACCAGGACTGAACCAGGGCTGAACCAGGACTAAAACAGGAAAACAGGACTGAGGACTAAACAGGACTAAACAGGACTAAACCAGGACTAAAACAGGACTGAACAGGACACCAGACTGAACCAGAGGACTGAGGACTGAACCAGAGGACTGAAAGGGACTGAACCAGGACTGGACTTAAACAGGACTAAAACAGGACTGAACCAAGACTGAACCAGAACTGAATCAGAGCTGAACCAGGACTAAAACAGGACTGACCCAGGACTGAACGAGGACTTAAACAGGACTAAAACAGGACTGAACCAGGACTGAACCAGGACTGAACCAGGACTGAACCGGAACTACTAAAACAGGACAGACCCAGGACTAAAACAGGACTGACCAAGGACTGAACCAGGACTAAAACAGAATTAAAACAAGACTGAACCAGGACTAAACCAGGACGGAACCAGGACTAAAACAGGACTGAAACAGAACTAAATTACCACCTTTTTCCCTCTAGAATTGTTGTCTATGGTGATGACATGTTCCAGGCTGTTGTTCCAGGATCGGCCAAACCATTCAACTTTCAGAAAGCCTACGGACTCTCTGACGAACTGGTACTCAATACTCAGCCTCTACTTATTACCACTGGATTCTATTATCAACTTTTTTGTTATATTAAATGTCTGTGTTTTCCAGGCCTTAGACGTGAGTGACCATTATCCTGTCGAGGTCACACTCAAGTCCAAAATCCCAGACGACGAGGAGGGTAAGGGTTGAAACTCTCTTTAAGTCTCTAACTTGTGTCTGGAATGAGAAAACTAACTTACTAACTAACTAACTTTCACTATTGATTGGTCAGGGTATCAATCACTGTGCACTGATATGATACTGGTATCAATCGGATATCAATGTCATTGCTGGATATCGGGCCCAAGATCAGTCAGTATCCCATTTTGGTATATTAATTGGTGCAACAAAACTATTTACTCACCAATGTTGGTCCAAAACACCTTGTAATATTGAACTTGTATTTTTATTTCGCTGTTCAGTAATTACTTTACATGTTACAGATTTGGATAGTTTTATTTCCCAATAAACGATTTGTGTTTAAAGGAAATAAATAGTATTTTCTGATACTGGTAGATTTATAGGTGCATTATTTCTTTTCAGTTCATTAACAGATCTACTTTACATTTATTTGGTTGGTTTTATTGTTCAAAAATATATCGTAAAAATATGCATTCTGTGAGCAGAGTTCCCTCTCTGACTGGTGATTTTCTCACCAGTAACTTGGCCTGGTTTGGTCTCCATGAAGATAGAAAGGTTTAAAGCCACACTGGGAAACATTTCTGACAAAGCAATAACAGCTCTATGGTGAAAAACGTTTGATGAACCCTGCACCAGAAGCCATTGTATCAACACTGGTACCAGAGCACTCAAAATTGAGTTTTGTCAATAATTGCTCTGATGTGCGTAAAAGAGGCACCAGCGCCTTCATTGTCTGAGAAAGTTGTCCTTTTACCATGTAGACAGAACCATGACGACACTGTTCTATAACACATTCATGGAATCAGTTTTAACGTTTTCATTGATCTCATGGTTTGGGAGCATTTCTGCTAAAAACAAGAACTCCCTGAATCAGTTGGTTAAATGAGTAAGGTGATTGTTCATCCTCAGAGCAGCCTGGACTCTCTACTCGAGACAGTTACAGAGGATGTCCCAGAGTATTTTAAAAGACGTGCAACATCCACTAAACTCAGAGTTTCAGCTGCTTCCCGATGGTCAGAGGCTTTTAGTCCCGAGATCTAGAACAAATCATTTTAAAAAGAGCTTCATTCCGGCTGCTATCGTACTTATGAATAAATTGTAATCTATTTATCTAAGATTGTGTGTTTTCAACATATTTAATATTTATTGAGATTTTAGCCAAGCGTGATGGATGAATTTTACTAATTGTTTATGGAACAAACCCTTCTGCCCTGGAGCTCTGTAACACTTTATTTGTAATTGTGTTTTTATATGTGTTTTGTGGATGAATGAAATGTGAAATGTGGAACCTGCCTCTCAAATCTACAAAGCAAATTTACCTCCGGGTACGAATAAATCAACCTAACCTAACCTAAGAGCATAAAATTGTAAAATGTTGCATTATCGTTGCTGTTAGTCACCTCACAGCAAGAAGACCTTGGGTTCAACTTCTTTCTGTGTGACGTTTGCATGTGAGATGAGATATTTACCGGCCTATAGCACATTTTTCATGAATGAATGGCACCTGGTTATTGCTAAGAGGAGAAATATTTGGGCATATCCTGATCTAACAGTCTTGTTTTTCTCACATGTGTTATTCTTCTTCCAGTGGAGTTGGATGAGGCCCAGCTGTTGCGTGCTCTAGAGCCCACTATGTGCTCAGTGATGGTGGATGAAGAGATCCTGGCTCTGCAGAAGGGAAACCTGCTCCTGGAGAGAGAAAAACTCAACCTGGAGATCCAAATGCTCAAGTTGCAGATGGAGAAACTCAAATGACGATGTTAAACTCAGTTAATTAAATAGAAGAAGAGACTGATCCAGGGACAAATGAGGACAAAGCAAGGACCAACAAAACTAAAATAGGACTAAATCAGGATTAAACTAAGTCTGACTAAACCAAGACTAATCCAGGACTGAACCAGGACTAAACTATGACTAAATTAGGGTGAAAACCGGACTGAATCAGGTCTAAACCAGGACTGAGACAAGATTAAGCTAGGACCAACTTCTGGTGTCTTTTTAAAAACCTACAAACCTCACACTAAACTTACCTCTGCTAATATTAAGTGCTCAATTACTGTAAGTGATTTATTCATGTACTCTTATTTACTCATCCATGTATTATTTTCAATTAATCCTTTTGATAATAAAATATATATCATACTTTCAAATCTGTTTGGACTGTTCTGTTTTGACTTTTTAAAATATTTCTTTCAATCATTTTATTTAGATTTAATTTTAGTATTGCTGCTATATGCTGTTGTCAGGCTGCTCATTTTGGTCTTAAAATGTTCGGATTAACCCAATCTACATGATCCTCGTGTTTTTATTTTGCTATTTTCTCCTTAAGTGCTACTCTTAATACGGACCTCTGCTCCAAATTTGCTCCTAGCCTCGCTTCATTTGACTGGAGTCTTTGACTTAGACTTAGACATAAACAACTTTCACAAGGGAAATTATTTGGACACAATAGCACATCACAATATCATATAATAACAAAGAGTAAAAAACATAAATGGTAATAATAAATTCAAAATAAGTAGCAAAAAAGACAGCAAGAGACTGGTGACAAATAAGACATAATTATATAATCGTATATATACTAGGGATGTAACAATAACCAAAATATCGTGATACTATATCGTCAAAAGTTTTCACAATAATCGTGGACCATCACTGTGTATTGAATTACAAGTCTCTTTGCTTAAATTAAGTGTTATGGTGTAGCAAGAGCTAAAAAAAGACACAGGGAACTACATAGACCATGATCCAGTGCAGACTTCAAGAAGAAATACCAGTTCTAAGCACTTTTAAGTCTTTGGATTAAGTCTTGTCAAGGCATTTTAAGAGGAATATTAACAGTTTTGTTTGCCTCCACAAAATATCACAATAAATGTCATACCGTGAGATGTATATTGTGAAAATAGCATACTGAGAGATTTGGATATTGTTACATCCCTAATCGTCAGCCTCCCCACCATATAGTGAAGTTTCCACGATATCACAATAAATATCGTACCGTGAGGTTCATACCGTGACGATATCATATAGTGAGACTTGGATATCGTTACACCCCTTATATATACAAGTCATAATAAAATAGAACAATAAGTAATAAAATCACAGCTTTATACAAGAGATAGGAAGACAATGCAGCAATGACATGATGATTGAAAGAACACAGGGTTATCTGTTACATGAGGGTGAGTTGTTGTATATTTGTTGGGTGACATCACACTCCCTTAGTCCACTTCTTTCTACAACCTATGTGTTAGACCTTGTATGTTAACACTGTAATTTTATAGGTGGAACTTTCCCAAAAGCAGCACATTATAGTTTTACTAGAGTCATAAAACTTTGCATTTTTCCTCTTCATGCATGTTCTACTGGAATGTAGTAAATGAAAGGATTTGTAGATCCTTCATGCAGACAACACGTCTGTATTCCTCACATATGGGTCATTTGAAATGTTCTTTGAGTCACACAGTTGTTCTTATCAATGAGTTTTGATAATGATGATGATGTTAAAGGTGTATTGTGTTACATTATGGCTGAGAGTCTGTAACCTTTTTGTCTCTGTGGAGATGTTATTGTTCTGCAGTGACAGCATCGTGCCAGGTTACAGGTCAGATCTGTGGGGAGGCAACACTGCTCACAGAAACAATGCATGTTTTCAAGGTATGTGTTTAGCAAATAAAACACATGCAATTTATTAAATGCTGTGAAACATACCAAAGCAATATCTCCACCAGAGACTGTATGAAGAAGTGGACTAAGAGAGTGTGACGCCACCCACAGTGTTCAGCTCTGCTCAAATGAGGCTCGTGATGCTAACGATTACAGGAGCGAATTTCTGACAGACAAAATTGCCAAAAAAATTCAGGATCATGTGTCATGTGTTAATACAAACATTTTAAGACCAAAATGACGAGGCTCACGGCAGCAGTTACAGAGAAAGGAGAGACAAGATCCTAATGTAAGTCAATTGGAGCCAGAGTCAGAAGGAGCCGGAAGAGCCTCCTGACAAACTTCCTATTTGGCACAAAGCCACAGAGCGGCTAGAGGGTTAGCTATGTCCACTCATATATATGGCCCATGATCTCCATGGAGACAATTGTGAGAAAAGTTACATAATGCAGCTTTAAGCTATAGACACAGTAATGAACACAGTTTGTCCTTCTCACCTATTTTGTTGAAAATCAAACACCTAAACAGGACCATGGACACTCGTATTGATCACAGGCTCCTGAAAATGTGCTGTTTAAATCTATTTGTATTTTCTTGAGTTTTCTGACTGTCTTAAACTTTTTTGTCCGTGTTTGCTAAAGAGTGCATTGTGTCACCATGGTAATCCTGAACCTTCCACCATAGAGATACAAATACAACATCCCCAGTGTGATGTCACTGGAAAGAATCAGTAGCTTTCACAACATAAAAAAGGCAAGAAGGGACTGTTTGATTTTAGCCACAAGAAAATTCATTTAGCAACAACATTTGTGTTTTGAGTTTGAGATTCTCTAAGTTGGTGAGATAGACTTAGACAAACTTAACTTAGACAAACTTTATTGAGTCACAAGGGAAATTACTTGGACAGAGTAGCTCATACATCACAATATAATATAATAACAATGAGCAAAAATATAAATGGTCATAATAAATTCAAAAATAGCAAGAGACTGGTGTCAAATAAGGCGTAATATATATATATATATATATATATATATATATATATATATATATATATATATATATATATATATAAGAAAAATAAAATAAAATAGAAATAAGTAATAAAAATGTCTCAGCAATATGAAAGAGGCCATAAGGATAATACCTATTGTAAATATAAATGGCAGTTGTACCAATCAAGAAACAAATTGTAAAGAAACGTTGAAAAGTACAGGAAGTAGACTAGGGAGAATTGTATCCAAAAGTCAAGTTCCTGTAATATAAACATTTTTCCTATGCTTTGAACATGATTTGACCAAAATAATCCTATTTTCTTATCACTTTTCTTGTCAAATAATAAATTCTGTGCACATTAGAGGAGTTTGGGCCCACTGTACATCTTAGATTTCTATTCCACAAGAGCAGTCATTTGAGACACTCTCATTTGAACGCTGTAGCTTCCGGTGTTTTTCCATCACACTTCAGACATGTTAATAACACATATGTACTTTTACTGTGAGGCCCCTCAGAGATGGGCCCCACACAGGAGACACAGAACCTGTTGGAACAAGTCCAAAAATCTAACCGCACATTTTTGTAAGTTGCTGCAGAAGGTAATAGGCTCTGTGCACACTCCACTGTTAGCACCACAACTTCCTGTCCAATTTGATCTGTCTGGTTGTGTCCGAATGTCTACACTACGCCCTACTTAGAGCACTATTTAGGGGTCATACCATTTCTGGGGGTGTCCAAATGTCAAATGAGTGAAAAAGTAGCCACTCAGAATTTCTCACAATGCATATTGAAAAGTAGTGAGTATCGGTTTTCACTAGACTGGTCAATATAGGCCACAATGCACTGCCAGAGTCGTGAAAACAAAACCAAAACAAAACACAATGAATGAATGAATAAATGAACAGCGTTGGGAAGGTGACTTTTAAAATGTATTCCCCTACAGATTACAGATTACATACCCCAAAATGTAGTTTGTAACGTAATCCATTAAATTACTTAAAATGAGTAACGTAATCTGAATACTTTGGATTATTTGATTTGCTGTAGAGAAGCAAAGACTAGGATATTTTCGCATAAGATGTTTTGTCTGCTAAAAGAAAATGAAAAAGCCCAGTCTTTACTCAACCAAATTAAAAATATTGATAGAAGATGAGGAGACACGGTCCACACAGCATGGTTTAGTCCTGTTAAATCCTGGTTTAGTCCTGTTTTAGTCCTGTTTTAGTCCTGGTTTAGTCCTAATTTAGACCTGGTTTAGTCCTGGTTTAGACCTGGTTTAGTCCTGGTTTAGACCTGGTTTAGACCTGGTTTAGACCTGGTTTAGACCTGGTATAGTCCTAGTTTAGACCTGGTTTAGACCTGGTTTAGTCCTAGTTTAGACCTGGTTTAGTCCTGGTTTAGACCTGATTTAGTCCTGGTTTAGACCTGGTTTAGTCCTGGTTTAGACCTGGTTTAGACCTGGTTTAGACCTGGTTTAGACCTGGTGTAGACCTGGTTTAGATTTGGTTTAGACCTGGTTTAGTCCTGGTTTAGACCTGGTTTTAGTCCTGGTTTTAGTCCTGGTTTTAGTCCTGGTTTAGTCCTGGTTTAGCCCAGAATGTGAAAACGGGAAAATACCACCGTGTAATCCATTTATTTCAGCAAAGTAACTGTAATCTAATTACCACTTATTGAAACAGTAACTGTAACTTAATACAGTTACTCATAATTTGTTCTCTGATTACGTAACTTCGGTACATGTAATCTGTTACTCCCCAACACTGTAAATGAAACAAAACACAGCTTCAGGTATGTTTTGATGAGGAAACAACATTATAATAGGTCAGAAAATGGCTTAATATGCACCTTTTAAATTAGAAAGGGGCGGGTCTGCGCTCATCCCTGGACTCTGATTGGCCAGTCGCCCTGTCACTCAGAGGCTTATGTCCCACAGCGATTATAGGGGATTATGGCACACAGACAGATGCACAAAGAGGAGCATGTTTTAGCTTCACACCACGCCATGATTTATCTGTTTACCGTTTTATTCTTGTACAGCGCTCTGCAGTCGGGCTCCTGCCTTGGACCTCAAACGCAGCACAGGTAACAGGCACCTGAACGCACCGTGGGCTGGTCGCAGTGGGTAGAAATGAGACTGTGTGTAGGAATGGTTGACCTCATGATCTCCTGACTTTTAGTGGGTCAGAGATTAATGTGCCACCATATGCCTTTGCAACGTGAAAAACTATATGCCTTTTGTTTCACTAACTATGATAAAATTAAAGGAGCACTGTGTAACTCTTCTGGAGAGGGTCCGCAACCTGTTTATTTCCATAGAGATGTTAATGCTTCGGTTTATATTGTCCACAGTATGGCATTTAACTAATCTGTCATGCATTTATTCTACTACAGGTGTTATTTATTGCTCGAAAATATCTTTAAAAAACATAAATTTCTACTGGGAGTGGGGTCACCTCTCCACAGATCTAACCTGTAATTTGGCTC